TGACTTTAATCGAGGGACTTTGAGCATCCGTTATGCTGGCACTACCACTTCGAGCGTGCAAGACGAGATCCATATTCCACTTTCTGCCGATCCAGCTTTCAGTAGTACTCTCAACGGCAACAAATTTCTTTCTTCGCGAGTATGCGGAGATGCAATAGTTGCGCAAACATACAAAGAGGAGATCAACAACTTCTTCACTCATGTGCTTGGTGTCCCTTGCTCCCTAGCGAGGTTCCCAGCTGGCGGAGCAGGATTTGGCATGAGACATTCTAAAGCTCACATGCAGAAACATCAACGACAAAAGAAGGCTACTACTGAGGTCGATCCTGTACCGGGTGCTTTCCCATCACCGCCAACGCCTCCAGATTCTGATAGCGAGTCGAAAAGACGACCTATTCTTCTCTCGAATGAAAGCCCAATGTTGGCCATCACCACATCAAGCCTAAATGCTCTCAATGAAGCCATAGTGGGCAGTGGTGGCAATCAAACATCAGCTTCTGTTTTCCGAGCAAACATTGTCCTTACTTCCACTGCGACCAAGGACGAGCAACATCCTTATGATGAGGATAAGTGGAAGTCCATACATATTGGTCAAGAGCAGTTCCAAATGCTTGGCTCGTGTCGGCGCTGCCACATGATCTGCGTTAATCAGGAGACTGCAGAGAAAGATGAAGAGCCGTTCGTAACTTTGGCTAGAACTCGAAGGTTTGATTCCAAGATCTTTTTTGGGTCCCACATGTGCCACGTACCACGAAGTGGTGGAACAAGAGCTAGTCAGTATCCTACCATCAAGGTGGGCGACACTGTCATAGTAGATGTATCAGAATAATGCAGTTATAATGAACATCATTCCATATAATGGCGTTTACTATTTTCAGCCCTATATCGTGATTGACAACGCAGAGTAAAAACCTGTGTTACATAGGCCACAATTCTTTTTTCCCGACCATGAAGAACATTGCTAGAATAATCTGCTTCACAAATATGCTATTTGAATTTTGTTGCCACATTAATGTTAAACAGTGGATGTATAAATTTTCTTGAACTGCATCATATTGCGGAAGTTTCCCCACATCTCCAGACCGTTCTCAATCGGGCATTTTGGAAAGTATAGTTGTACAGGACCTAATTCATTTGATGAGACAATCCTCCGCGATAGTTGGTCCAGCCCACCAATTTAGCGTCATGAACGTCATCACGCTTATTTGAACGAAACAGATATTGATAACTTTTCATCACAATTCAGCTCACTTCTAGCAGAATGTCACCAAGCTTCAGCAAGAGCCGAGGGTTCCACAAACAAAACGGAGTTGTCAGGGGTACCATTGACTGGGACTTCAAGGATGACGGCCGAGTATCTTCCAACTGTGAGACACCCACCCAAAACCAGTGGTATATCACGTCAATGTTTTTTCAAGAAGACAGATGCGGGGCTTCTGTTGATGGAAGTAGAAGCATGTTATGAAGGAGACGAAAGACAAGAGGCCAATAGCTGTGGTATATATTTCGCATTCATACCGGCTACCAAGTTTGTAGAGAGAGGAATATCTATCGCTATCGAACGAGGAATAGATCTTACTTTCCGGAGCACCATTGCAAGATCCATTCGTACATTCAGAATACTATCCCACAACGATTGTATTATTGAAGATCTCTATAACGACTCAACAGATGAAATGGTGCGGAGGCTAAATGATGGCACAATTGCACCCTCGGATAGAACCTCGAAAGGACCTCCTTTAATTATGGTCAGTAGCCTTCTATGATGAGAAGCCTCTGTAATTGATTTAAAAAAAAGTTAGCTGCTAGCTTCGGCGCTGTCAGGAATTTTAACCTCCTTCTCCAAGCAAATTCAGATCTACAAGAATCAAACTCGTGTGTGCTCTGTTTGTTATCATGTTTAATGCTAATTGCCGTGGCTTAGATTTAGTTATGCAACATTTTGGATGCTTTGGGCAGGATATAACAGGTGTAGTCTCGAGGCGAGTCCAAGTCAGGACTTTCAACAGCAACAGCAACTTGACCAGTATATTCAATTGTCCAACTTGGCAATCCGTCATGGAGCCAGCATAGAATATAGTGGCCTTGCCAAAGACCGATTTCCCGATTTACTATACATACCTGGCATTGGTCGCTTTGAACCTTTAGTCCAAGAGATATGCTCCTACTTTCTCAGTATCGGATGCAATATTGAAGCCCGCAACTTTCATGGGGAAACTCCTCTTCTTTTTGCTGCGAGACAGTATAGAGGGCGAAATATCACCTGGATACAAGCTCTTTTAGAAGCAGGTGCAGACATCAGCGCTACTGATTTTACGGACGTAATGCGCTTCACCTTGCTCTAACATGTTGTAGAGAAGGCTCAAATCGCGATCAAGATCTTCTGTTGTTACTCCTTACGAGACGAAGACTCGAGATTCTTATAGATGGGGGTTATGATCCAGATGCTATCGAGGCTATGAATTGTACGCCTTCCGATTTCGTGAACGCAAATGACCTGCGAGAGACATGGCATAAAGTCCTCGGGTCGCGTGGGCAACTAGAACTGATTGAGTTGGTAGCAGAGAGAAAACCAGTGGTTTGCGATCCTCTGTGGTTTTCAGATGATACTCAATATTGTCACTACTGCATTGCTTGCAATGACACCTGCTTGACAAAGCATTTTGACATAGTCAGTTGGGTAATTATTTTGAAATTTAGCACGGTGCAAATCGAAACTATGGAGAAAGTATTATCAGATCATGTTGCTAAGGAAGGAAAGAAAGCCGAAGGAGGAAGAAGGACGTGGTCTTTTTGGTTCTCTTATGTCGCTACGAATCTACGAGGTAGTGATTTTTCCCGTTTTTCATTTCTTCTTCGACGTCCGCAAAACCTCTGTAGTAGAAACTGCTGCATTGCTCATTATATATAAAAGCTTCTGGCTATGGTTTGGGAAGTTTCGGTTGGTTCGTGGCGATAGCTAGAGCTGGTTGGGCTTTTTCAAATATTATTGTTAGGATTTATAGAACGGTACTTGAATCTGAACGAAACTTGGAATCTAAAAAGAATATCTCTTGCACTTCCTTATTATTATGGCAACAATTATACTACATACTACTCTATTATCATGTAATACCTCAAATGATTATGCTCGTGGCATACGTGAAGACTTGTTCAAATCGCAAGTTCTCGTCTCAGAGCTGAAGAAAATGTAAACTATGGAATGAAATTACCTCACAAAAGAATAGAATGATTAGACGAAGCAAGTAGCGGATTTCCTATAGCGACATAAATTTTGAAATTCCTGTTGGTTATAGAGGTCAGGGGGAATGGAATTACCAGTGGCATGAATAAAAGAACCCGAACCTCCGACTCCCGCTTCCCAGCCTCAGTTGGCACCCGAAGTATTTTGATCTCTTCTCGTGCTATCTCATGTATTAAAGAATATTCCAGTTCCTCTCTGAGTTATTATCATAGAGCCTTTCCTTCCTTTGATTTAGAGGTTTTAATAATTGATAGCAGATTTTCAATCAGAAAACTCGCCAACCGTCACTTCAGATGTACTAATCAACAAGAAAGAAATTCGATACTACAACTTCTACTACAAACCATATGACTGTAAAGTACTTTGCAGTTTTAATTTTACACTGCTTTAACGACGTTTCTATACTTATCTGATGAAGTGTTGAGAGTGACTGCAAGGAGACGAAAAGGAGAAGACGTTCTTCCTCTACCCCACTATTTATAAATTTCCATAAGATACTCTCATTTGTACAAAACATTAGGCGCCCGGGGGTATAATTCCAAGCGAAATGGAATTTGTTAAGATCATAGCAACTGGCAGTTTCGACAGTAACATAAGATTGAAAATAAATGAGTAGCTGTCACATACGACTATAGACTGAGGGAAGTTGGGCTATCTCAGCCTTCTATTCCAACATGAACCTTGATTCGGAATTCTTTTCAGGATTTACAATATCAGCCCACGAAACCCTTGAGTGTACATTTCATGTTTTGGACCCTAATTCTTATTCAGGTGTTACGAAAAATCGTTTTCGGGAAAAGATTTCCGTGCTTCGAAATCAACTATGCGTCAATCATTTCTTAAACAATAAGCGCTGCGAACTAGCCAGCTATAGCTACATACAAGCAAGTGTTGAAACTTCTCTTACGATGCATTTTATGTACCCGACTGCACTAGAAAACGTGCCCATTGTAAAAATTGCGAGACGGGGTTGGATATCTAATTCATCGTACCTCTTATCTTGTAGGGAGTATATCTTCATCGCGCAGATATTCTCGGGCTCCGGCCTGTCGGAGGAACACGGTGGCTTTAGGATATAGTTGTTTCGCCCTCGCAGAATTTCTTGCTGTAACTCTAAAGTCGAGAAGAATGTCACCCATACTATAAATCACAACATCTTGATATTCAGGGCGATCTTCCGATCAGCGACCAATATGTGCTTCACGACATGTTAAAAGCATTACCCGTTCGGCGAATTCTTAATTATTTATAAGTTCTATTAATATAAACAGGAACTAAAGATAATATAACTCAATTATATAAAACTATAGCCATATAACTTGCCTTATAATAGATTAAAATGACCCAAAGGCGGGCGTTTTGAAAATATGATTAGATAAGGAACCAAGTCCGAATGGGCTCGCCTCGACGTGGGAGAAATAAAGTGGCCGATATTAGCACACCACTTAAAATTACATTACTTCCACTCTGTAAATCAGCGACAAATTATCTCTCTTTAGAACTTTAGAGAAAGATAGATTAGCTCCTTAGGGATAGCGATGCCCATTTGTATTAACCTAAGGAGTAATTTATGTTTTTGAATATTTCATTAAAGTTAGGGCCTGCTTTCGTGTTCTCGCTTATTTGGGTGTTAAAATCCGCCACTTATTTCTTCTACGTAGAGGCTCGGTATTTCTCGGTAAGTATCGGTTAGTCGGTCCGATTTTTAAAAAAGAATATAGTGTTAAATAAGGCAGTTTTCAACAAAAAAGCAATTGGTCAGATGGCCGAGTTGGTTATGGCGCCAGGTTAAGGTTTATCTTAACATCATTTCCTGGTCACGAAAGTGGCGTGGGTTCGAGTCCCACTCTGATCATATTTTGTTTTTGTCAAAAAGGGAAATTTTTTGGTTGAGTTATTGTTTCGGCTGCGCCTGAGTTTGGGAACCGGATTCCGAGACTGAGGATAATTGGGCCTCCCGTCCGCTCTGCCATATACAAGCCCCAGATCGGTGGATTTGTAGTAGTAGGGACGACTGTCGTATGTTTTTCCCTTTTATGATCTTAGAGATGCAGGCACCAATCACGGCGACCATAACACAATGATCCCAACGACTCCAATTCAATTAGTAGAAAAATATCAGCGTGCAAATATATTGTATTAATTTTGCCTGACATCAACTAGCCAATGGCATTTGCAATCAATTCTACTACGACATTATTCTTTACCACTACCATTCCAACTGTAGCCTTTCAAACTCTCGCAGTCTAGTTGGTTGTTCTCAACAAAAGCCGCATCAACCTTAAACCCATATATGTCCTTGAAAATGCTGGATTTTGCCGCTTGCAAGTAAGGTGCCTCAATTGTCACCTCGCCCTTTACTCTGACAGGTGCATTGATTCCGGTGGATAGCGTTGTGTTATAGTAAAACCTTTGATTATCGCACTTTAATCCATTGCTGAAAAATGGCTGGTTTGTAACATTCATGAAGCTTTCCAAAAACATTAGTGATTGTCTCGCTGGAAGTGCAGAGGAGAACATACTACTCAAACGGCCACCCACGTCCACTTGTTGAGGCGAATTTCATCGTGACGGCAGGACAAGTGCTGCTATTCGTGTACGTGTCAAAATAAGTTTCTCCTCTTTTCTTCCCGGAGGAAGATTTGACGTATGCGTAAGCTTCAAGTGCCGGATCGAAACTTGCCGGAATAACGGTCGTGCCGTAGACCGCGGCTCCATCAATGACCAGCGGGGCAGTGGCAGTTAGGAATTGGTGATGTGCGTAGAGGAAACACGAGTAGCCATCGCCGAGGAGATCAATGAAAGGATACTCGATGTGCAATGACTGTTTCATCGAACCAAAATTAGAAGTGTTTTGTAGAACAGGATTGATTGTAAACTTCCCTGAAAATCATCAAGTACAAAACTTCCAAGACCGACATCGTGATCGAGATTACCTTTGACCAGAAGCTATACAGTTTGCATTAATTCCAAGTCTTAGAAGTTTATGATATGCAAGTGATACTTACAGGATAGCTGTCCTTGGGAAATCCAGGAAGAAGTGATTCGTATGCCTTTGTGAGAATTTCATATTTTGCTGGAATTATACTTCTTGCAAGAGAAAATGGAATTGGCACCAGTGCAATTGTAGCATTGAAAGTTCCCGTGACATTGTTCGGATACACGAAGCGAATGGGATTTGGTGACGACTGTGAAGTCACACTGGTGGCGCAAAGAATAGCTGCCAGGAAGAAGCTAGAAATCCTCATTTTGCTTGGAAATGAAACAAAAATCAGGAATTGAAAATGGTCAGTTCTTCTACCTCCAAATTCACAAATTAAAAAGGGGTAACAAGTCATCATTATATATGAGCACTACGTAGGCTACCGGAGGCCTCTCGGAAGGAAGCGAAGCCTCAATTGAAGCTTATGTGGGGGAAACCCGGAGGAAAGAGCTTGTGGCCCGGATGTGGACAAAGCCGTGTGAAATGTCGTTGCCGTGGGCCACTAAAGCCCTGCAAACCGTCTTTACCGAGAAATAAACACAAGGGCACACATGCACATGCGGGGCGACCTGAAGATTGGCTTGGCACAACGGCTCTTCTTAGGAGAAATAAGCATCGGATTTTGGCACCCCAAGAAGCGATAGACCCCAACTCCAACACGATATTTTCACTCACCACGACGCACAAATTCTTTGCAAACCTGATGCGCGAAGTCCTAAGAAGGCTGCATATCAGAATCCTTGAGTTTGAGTCGAAATAGTTTGTTGTCGATTTATCGCATTGCTGTTTGCGCACTCTGAAGGGGGTGCGCCAATATCCGACACTCTTTTCTCCCACGAAGAGAACGCTACTCTGAATGGTTCGACCTCGGAACCTTCTACGAACGAGTAATGTGAAAAAATGGAATCAATTGCTTTAAGGTGGAAGGAAGGCCTCTGGTTGGGTGTCCGAATGGTGATGAAAAATTCCGCATGCATAGTCAAGGTTTGCTCGCATAGATTTCTCTCGAGAGATAATGTCGAACTCTGGTGGGGCAAGCGAAGATGTAAACATATAGGTGATTACCTTCCTCTTAGAAAGCTGGTTAACCAAAAAAGGCAGGGATGGTCCATCTTTCAACCGCTAGAGTTGCTAAAGGGTTGATTGAAACTACTTCTACAAATGCTTGTGCCGCGACAATTCGAAATACAAGATTGGTGATTTGTGCGCCTCGCACTGTTGCATATCAAGCAATCAGTACGTTTCGGTGACATTGTAGTACAAACGCCTTCGTTTCCAACACCAATTGCGACACAGATGCATAACTTCGAAAATAAATCCAAGTAGGCAATTGTTAGGGGTAAGGTTACGAGAGATTCTTACCGACCAGTCTCGAAAAAGAAATGTCCACAACGAGGTTTTGAAATGCTCAGCGTCGGAAAGATCTCCGATATAGACATTCCCTAGACTTGGATCTCTGTGTTAACTCGGCCATTATCCTCTCTTCTGCGTCTCGTTGAAATACCTGCGTACTAGGCAAGAGAATGATCAAACGTGTTCACGAAACGCGGAAGGTGATGCTTCTCTGGAAGGAGCCATCAACGTGAGTGCTGGCAAGCTATCGCGATTTCGACCACGCCCTGAAACCACATTTTCATCCTCATCTAGCCGCTGCTGTCTGTAAGGTTCATATGCTGAAGAGCGATTGTCAAGAGAGACGCTTCTTTTCCCTCTGGTCTTGGGAATGAGATGAATCTCATCAGTGCTTCGAGCATCCACCTTATCAGTCATGCCGATGCTTTCATAGGCTTGGACGGGGATCAATGTGACCTTTCCCCTTGACTTCCTGGCTTTGGAAGCTTCCGAACGGTGATTTAGGATAAAGAGAACCGTGGAAATAACGCAGAGAAAAGTAGCTGCCCAATTGAGAATGTATGGGATCTTTCCCATTTTTGCAGTGATGGGAATGTCTTCGTCATCGGCTCGCTTGACGAGAGTGCCGTATGTTATTTGAGCAACTATTGACAATACCAAGGTGCTAGCAGTACATAGCTGTAAACAATTGTCAGTCAACTTCTAGCTCAATTCCGTTCAAGGCGAGACTCAAAGGACCGAGGAGATTTGAACTTACTGATGAAGTGATGACCAACAAGCTCTTGGCTCGACGAAACATCCCAGAGAAAGAAGCGAGAAGGATTTCCAAAGCCTTGAAGCTGATTGCTACATAGTACGAAACGTAAAGCAGTTTCGGACCACTTGCAAGCCAGTAGAATTGCACATTTCCCTTGTTGACACTAACTCCCCAAGCTCTCCAAAATGGCAACAGGTCAAAGAGCAAATGGGAGGACTTTGAACAGAAGTCTACCTCATAATTGTTGTCCTTGATTTGGCCACTGCAATAATTGTATAGATAGATTGAGTAGAATGTTTTATGTTTGGAGTAATCCCACAAGTCTGGTAACCCATGGAATCTGTCGTCTCCGACTTGGATATCAACTTTTGAAGTATCGATCTCGGGAGAGTTAGCTTCTGCGAGAAATTTTGTGGAAACGACCACTTACTGTTGCAAAATCAAATCCTTTGAGTTTCCCCGATTGTGCTCGAAAGCCTGCCAGTGCAACGACCATCAGGCATAATAACGAGGTCAAAGACAGTAGTATCGGGATGAGAACCCTCACAAAATAACCTATCTTTCCCATCTTTGAAAATTTAATACGACGACTAAAGTTAAAGATTAAGTGTTCTTAACAGAATGCATGAATACATGTGTATGATAGAAAGAGTTGCTTGCCAGATAAAAGCGATTTCCTGTACAGCAAATCATGTCCGAACTCAGCCCTGAAGCCACCAAATGTCACGCCAAGATGCCAAGTACTGGCTAAATATTATCTCAGCTCGTGCCAGCACAGCAATGTCTTAAAGACCGTTTTCTATCGTGAAATGTGATTCTCACCCTTCGTGATCCGTCAGCCTCCTCGAACTATCTTTCAGAAAGAATGTTGTGTTTCACAAACTGGCGGTTGGATTTGGCCAGGCATGTGACTAAATTGCTTGGCCATTTTCGGGTCTGGGAAATCCCATACCTTCAGCCTCAAAAGCAATTGCACGAATCGAAGATCCTATGAAATACATTTGTTATGAGTCTCATGTTTGGTGACTGAGACGAGTTGTGTATACCCCAGATTTTACGATTGTTTGTCTCTGCATAAACGCAGCTCGCTTATGTATAGTCAACACAAACACTTCACAAGATAAGGCTATAGAACAGTTACCACTGGAATTGTAGCAATATCATAAGTCTATTCATTACCATCATAGTTGTTGCAAACCCTAAAATACTCAAAAAGTCCGGCTCGTTGTGGTTGAATCAAAGTGCTTTGAGCACTTTTTCGGCACAGCTTCTGTGGCGCGAGAGTACCGATTTCCTCATCCAATTCCGGCAGCCAAGTATCTTGGTAAGTCACGAACTTCAGCTCTCCGCCACCACGCTTTGGGAACTTTCACTTCCGCGTTGGCAACTGTATGGTATCGGACTTCAGCCAGAAATGGTTTGCTTTTGATATGAAAAGAAGCGGCCTCACAAAATGGAAGTGAGTATCTTTCTCCTTTTTCATTTTTCATGAGCCTGGTAAACATCATTCGAGATGAAGGTTTCTTCGAATTCTCTTCTTTTGGTATCGTCTCTCTTATCCGGTGTTCTTTCTCAAAATTTCACCCATGGAAGTTACACACCTGAAGCAATAAACGACTACTATACCGGCAATTTCTTCGTTCCACCCCCATACCGACAAGAGTTTATCGAACACCTAGACTCAATAGAGGTCGAATATCACGAGTACTTTTCTCAACTCTCTCCAACTGACGGGAAACCAGTTATCGTCTCACCATGTTTA